GGTTTAATAGTCATCATTCATCATAGTGCTCTAATTTATGATTTATTCAATATTTATAATTTATACTATCTTGCTCATGCATGACATTTACCAATATTTGTACTTAAATTTACTTCACCTCAACTATTCTAGAAAAACAATTTGACTAAGCAAATGAAAAACAGATAGGCCTACTCCTCCACTAGACTCACTACTGTCACTGTCATACTAAACTGACCCGCCGACAGAAATGTTAACTCAGTGTTAGTGTTAGTCAACTGTACTGTTAGTCACAAAACATCTGAGCCGGCTTAGTAAGTGGCATAGTTTAAGTTTAATTTCTAGGCTTTTACTGCCCAGATTTTAACAAAGAAAATTTTTAGATCTACTATTATTAGTTTACCTCAATTTTGATTTATTAGAAGTCCTAAAAGTCAGTAAATTCATAATTAAACAAATCGTATTTGTTTTCAAAGACGGCACAAACTCATTTGAATGATAACAGATAAAAAAATTATCGCCGTAAGAATTTGGTGTTACATTTTACCGAGATGACCAAGTTAACACAAAGTTTTTGGTATAAAATCTGTACATGCAGATATAATAAATACAAATTAGATAATTCGCTTTTACTTTTAGGTTAAACTTTTAAAAGAAGTGATTTAATAGGGTATAAATTGTGGGCAGAATAATCATTAAAAATATTTTTTAACAAAAAAAAAAAAAAGGGGGGGGGGGGGGGGGGGTCTACTTGAGGTCTAATTTCCCCTTTCCTCCCTCCAATCTACTATTTCCTTTCACTAACTTTGTTATTTGAATGTGGTTATGGATGTATTTTTTATGTTAATTTAAAATAGATTAATCTTCCCATTTCCTTTTTCTATATATATTTTTACTCCAACAATTCCTATAAAAATGCCAGACTCTCTCTCTTTCCTACCAGATCATGAGTGAAGTAATGTAAGAAATTTATCAATGTAAAAAAAAATTGAAACTATGTTACTGTTTCATTTTTTTCTTCTTCTCCATCCCCGTCCACCTATTTTAACTATTCATACAACTAGCCCTCTCACTTCCGACCCGCCTCCCCTTTTTCTCACAGACACTTCCTCAGCCCCTCCCAATTTGGGGGCTTCCTTTTTCCCATCACAGTCACAAAGGTGAAAGGAAACATGCAATTGGTGGTAAAAGTATATTTTGAACAGTCGAATTGAAGTTATAACTTCCTGTCTTCATCTGCCTCTCATTTTCCTCCTCTTACTTTCCATTCTCTCTCTCCCAGTTCTTCCTAGTAACCAATTTGTTTATTTAGTGTGAGAAATTATTGTAGTTGACAGGACGGCATCCCCACCTTAAAACATACATCTCAACAAGGTCTTATAATAGCATACTCGGGCTTGTAAAACTCCTTTTTCACTCTTTATAGACTTTAACTAAAATAATCTAAATTTTTAAAAAAGAAACATATATTTCAGAAATAGTTGACAAAAATGGATGCTTTGTTACACTAGAAAATGATCAGTGAAGTTGATAAAAATTTTGTATTTCAGTTCCGGTGATACCTACAATATTATTTTATTTTCCAGTCATTGGATAATCTGCCTGAGGAGCTATTGTTATAGGTTGTAGCTCCGTGCTCATAACCGATAACAAAAGTTGTTGTCTTGGATTCTAATTCTTGTTTCGAAAGGACTACTCCATTTCTTTGTTTTGTATTTATTTATTTTTTTGGTGGATAAAAAGTCTAAACCACCACAGCATAGTGATAATTTAAAACCATGGTAGTCTATCATCATTGGGAAATGGAAATAGCTATACAAAAGTTCTTTTTAATAGTTGGAAAAAACTGTTTTACATTTTTTGTGTGGAATTAACGCCACAAATGTTAACTTAATATTTAAGGAAACCTACTACTACTACTGGATACCGTGGCATCAGGATTTAAGCAAATGAAAAGGAAAAGTTGGTAAGTTATCAGCATATTTATATATATATCAAATTGCAGTCGTTCTTTTCACTCACAACACACTTGACTTTCTCACAAACGATGGAGTAACAAAATTTCCTGCTATCAAAACGCACTTTTAATTGAAATCACAGAGTCAGTGTTAAATCATTTTGATAACTTTTAATCCATTATTCCATGTTCAGAAAACAATGAAGCATAAACAATTTCATCAACTTGACGTAATTTAATTGAACAGTGTAACATTGCTTCACACAAATACAAAAATCACAGAGAGATGAGCTGCCAACAAGAACATTTCTCATAATGTATATAGTTTGCTAATATGATTTGATCAGTGTGATATCTATGTGGGGTGTCTATGTTTCTCCTCCGCATGTTACAATGTACAATAGGGAGAGAGAGCTGTTGGTAGGAGAGGATGCCTCACAATAAGCACAAGTGTTTGTAATTCTTTTCAGAAAACATTTTTATGAATAAGTTATGAATTTAATTTAAATTTCTTCATTGAAAAAAAAAGAAAGTTTACTTTTAACTAAACAGTGAAAAAATTGTAAAAGATTTAGTCAATAGACTTTAAGTAGGACCTGTGAATTAAGAATCATAATTATTTAAAAAATTAACAAATTTTTGTTTTCTTATTTAAGTGTTTGTAGGAAGGTTTCTCCTATGTCTTGAGGGCCCACGATCAATGTATTGACCAAGATCAATGTATTGATCACGAGCAATGTATTGACCACAATCATATGTATTAACCACAATCAATGTATTGACCACGATCAATGTATTGACCACGATCAATGTATTGATCACGAGCAATGTATTGATAATTCTGGCTCCTAGTGGGGGTATAAGAATATGTGTGCTAATACCTGGTTGGGTATCTGGAACTTTTTGTAGGGGATTTTTTTTTTTAAATCACAAAAAGTGTGTAGCAACATTCCTTAATAGCATATTATATTGAACAGAGTCAGATTACAAAATGGTAAGGCCGCAGGCTACTTCAGGGCATGCCTCATTTCAATAGTTGAAATGAAGGTTTCTTCAACTGCTAACAGTTCTTTCATCACAAAATGTTTGGTGATCATCAATGTGTAACATCAAATTAGGTATGTTGTAATTCATCAAGTCACTAACAACAAAAACTTAGAAAAGTTTAAAAAGAAAATTCTGTTGCATTTCAGTGAGAAAGACTAAATAGGGAATTAGGTCTAATACACAATGTGATAAACGGCACATTTGCAATAGTCTTTGTCCATTTTGTGGTCCCTCCATTTGTAAAAAATCTAACACCAATTAAGGTCACCACCACAGGTTATCATTTATGTCTTGAGATTACAATCCAAAGGTCACTGCCCAAGGTTATCATTTATGTCTTGAGATTACAATCCAAAGGTCACTGCCCAAAATGATCAGAAGTTGACTTTACATTAGAACTCACAGTCGCTGAAATCACTCCCTAAGTCATCTGCGGTTATTTTTGAATACTCAGATAAATCAGCATTAGTTGTTGTTCCTCCTCCTTCACTTGACTTACCTCCCTTCTCAAACTCACCCACAGCATCATTTCTATTCTTGCCCCGTCCTTTCCCTTTGCCGGCAATTGCTCTGCCCTTCACCAACTCACCCCTAGGCTGACGGGGAAGTATACCGTGACCCCTTATGGACTGCACGTCTCCCAAATGCTGCATCTGCTTTCTGAATTTATTTGTCTTGCTAAGCTTCTTGGCATGGGAGTCCTCGTCATCACTTGTGGCTATTGGCTGGTCAAAATTCACAGCTTTTCTAGTCTTAAAAGTCCTTTCTGGCAAACTCTCCTCCTCTATTGCCAGGTGTTTCTTATCATCCTTTCCAGCCCTCCTAGCAAATTTGTTAGGGATCCCCGCCTCTGTATCTTCTGCTGTTGTTTTGTCTTTCAAAGCTTTGCGGGAACTATTTTGAAGCTTCACATTTTGTCTACATTCATCGACACCGGAAGTCAGATTCTGCATTTGCGCCACCGAATGATTTTTCTGTGTTGTTAAGCTATCCCTGGTTGATCTCATGAAAGGGGAAGTTGAGTCCAACAACTTTTGTTTTTTTTCTGGGACAACGCCATCCATCCCTCCCATGATATCTTCAAAAGACATCATTGTTTCATCCTTCAAGGATGATTTCTCTTTCTTTTCCTTTACCCGGCCGTCCACCCTCGTCATATCATTCTCGTCCGACCTCCTCTTGTCGTGCTCTTCAAGTCTCCTCTCCACAACATTACGGGGCTGGTGGCCTTGGAGCTGCTGCAGGAGAAATCTGTCTTGCTTAGTCCTTTGATTCAAATAGGCCAATGTCGCCGGAAGATTCTGTTTGTTGATGACAGAAACGTCAGCTCTGCGCAACATGTCTATTTCCTCCCCTTCCGTGGAGGAGGTCTCCACTGCCGTACTGTGGTAGAATTCAGCTAAGGCTGCAGGTTTCCTTGTCTTGGGCACGGATACATCAGTTTTGCCATCCCTCTTCATTACAAGTGTTACAGATTTCTGCATCTCTGTTACAGCAGATTGAGCATTTCTATTGGTTAATCTCCCTTGGGTTTTATCTTGACTTGATAAATGGGTCTCCTCATCTAAATTAACATCCTTTCCTTTCACACTCTTGACTTGAAGCCCCCGACTCATGCTGGGCTTCACATTGCTGGTGGTGGAATCAGTTTTTTTCTGCAACTTTGACCTTTGCACTTCATCCCCATTGGTTGTTTTCTTCAGGTCTACAGCCTGTTTTTTATTGCTAGCCAAACTGTTCTCCTCATCCTGCTCTTCTTTTACCCGACCAGCAGCGTGTCTGTTGGTGCGTTCTCCTTCCTCACTCTCGCTGCTGCTCTCTGATAAATTAACAACACCTCTTGCCATCGCTCCCTTTCGTGTTGCACCAGAGTTGTATTTTTTCCCTTGAACTATTCGTGGGCACACTTGGTCCAGTGACATCGGTATCTTACCCTTACAGACTGCTGTCCCCTTTCCTCTGGTGTTGCCTCCCCTTCCTCTCCTTCCCCTAGCCTTCCTTTGTTCCAGCAATGTAGACGCATGTTTCACTTTCTCGGACATTACCCCCATGAAATTATCAGCACCCTTATTTTCCACTAACGAGATTTCACTACCAACTTTTTCTACCGGTTCCCCGGAATCTTGCCTGTCTCTGGTTGAAGTCTTTGATTTTCCCTTTTTGCTCCTTCCTTTCTTCCCTCCCTTTGCTGCCTTTTCCTCATCTGATTCGGCTGGTTGCCCTGACTTTGGCCTCTTGACTGCTTTTGGTTCTCTGCTTTTATTTCCTAAAGTTTTGCCGGTTTTACTTTCTTTCCTCATTGCTGAGCCACCATCTTCAGAGTCTGAGCCCGCTGTGGTACCCTCCGTATCAGCATCTTGGTCATTCACCGTCTTCGGGTTTTTAACCAGGTCCAAAGCTTTCATCAGGCGTTGACTCTTGATCTTGGAAACTTGGATGAAACTCTCAGGTTGGAAGTAGGAGGAAATTCTGCCCTGCGTCTGGTGAAAGACAAGTGGAAGAATTCTTAATAATAAGATTTGATTAAATGAAACAATTAAAAGAGTGAATAAATCTCTACATAAAATTTGTTCTCTCTATATTTAACAAATAATATTCGGGATCGATTTCCTAGTCAGTTGCCAAATAAAATAATGTGATAATGAAATGTGCCAAATAAAAAATGTGATAATGAAATGTGCCAAATAAAATAATGTGATAATGAAATGTGCCAAATAAAATAATATGATAATGAAATGTGCCAAATAAAATAATGTGAAAATGAAATGTGCCTAAACCTCTTTTTTGTTGAACTGTTTCATCATTGGTATAAGTGTCTGGTCCGCTTTCTCTTTGGGCCACCCAAACTTTTTCTTGGCAAATCTAGTTTTAATGTTAAGGAGTCTCAAGCGGTTTCACATTTTTGAAAATTTCTCTTCTTTCTTGTCTAAAATTATTTCGCTGTATTGTTTTATGGCATTTTGATAATAAATTTCATGCTTGTGTATAAAGTTGCATAAATCTTTAATAAATATATTTAAATCACTGTCCCGTGTAAAAAAATATGAACAATAGGAATTTATATGACCAGGCCCGCACCTAGGAAATTCTGGGCCCCAAGCAGCTGACAGAGTTTGGGCCCCTTTCGTATTTCAGACATGTGCGTATATTTTAAAAGGGCAGCCCCTATTAATCTCAGGCCCCTGACAAGTGCCATGGTTGTCCCCCCCATAGGTGCAGGCCTGATATGACTCTTAAAAGCTGTCAAATTCAACAGCTCCATTTGACAATTCTAGTAACCTATATCTCATTAATTATTTATTTTTAACACAAAAATTATGAATGGCATATTAAACTTAATAATAGCTATCAGCCTGACAAGGATACTCTCTAAGCAGCCCCAGCTCTGGAGGACTCCATTTAAACCTCTCTTCTGAGTCATCCACAGTAGGATTCAAGTAAGCATCCACAACAGCTGCACTAGGGAAACCTGCAAGGAATGTGCATTATAACGTGTATTAATTATGCACCAATTGGGAATCTTATAAAGTGTGTTACTTGAATGCATGTTTTGTCAAGTAAATTTAGTAGAGTCAGCATGCGGCTGCCATTGTTTGGCAGGCTATAGCTAGTAACTTTATACAATAACAAGAAAGGTTTAACTTAATATCAAATTGAAAATAGGTATCAATCTGCACCTGTTTGCTGTAACTACTTTGGGTGGACGTCAGTTCACAAAGGTATCAACCTACATAGGCCTGTTCACTTTAACTATTTTCAGTGGAGCCTCAGTTCACAATAAATGGTAAATTTCAAGTTTATGAATACAACTCTACCTGGAATGAGCTTGAGATCTTTCAAGTGTTCCCTGATTTTATTCCCGGATGCAAGCTTGCCTTTCTTCTTTGCTATGTCCCACCACTTTCTGGAAGTCACAGAGAATTTTCATTTAGTTGTAATTGTTAATCTAAAACTAAGGCATCACCCAAGTTATGTTTAAATTATGGCTATCACTATCACCAACTGAATGGTGTCACCAACTAAATTGCGGGAAAAGCATTCATTAACTATTAACTCTCTAAAAACACATGATGCACAATAAAACAAAATATACAGTGTGCAACAAAATATACAGTGTGCAACAAAATATACAGTGTGCAACAAAATATACAGTGTGCAACAAAATATACAGTGTGCAACGAAATATACAGTGTGCAACAATTATTAGAGAAATGCCATGATGGACAATCCCTTTATAATCTTGAATTTTGCTACCTTTATTGTTATTTATTTCTTTTTTGTCTTTATTGTTGTTAATTTTTGGTTTGGTCATTCTGTTTTTATTTTAAATATAGCCAGAACGTTTGTTTCTTTTATGTATCAAAACTGTTCCATGTTCGCCCCATATGTTTTCTCGGTATAATGGAATACCAGCTTATTAAACTTATTTTGGCTATCAGAGGATTGTCTGTTTTGGCTTTCTCTTGCTACCCTGAGCCAGTCACATGGTTTGGGGAGGGGGGGGGGGGGGGGCGTGCTGGGGCTAGAATATGGTGTGGAAAAGTTGTGCAACAATTGTGTGTTTTGGGGGAATGCTTCAAATTTGTAGTGCAGCAAATTAAAAATGTCATTGTCATGATACATGTTATTAATTTTAGCATGATGTAGTCTTTGTTGTTAAGATGTGAATAGATATATTAGATTTCTCAGTCGAGATATACCAGTGGAGTGAGTAGAGCCGAAGCAGCCAACAAGGTAACATCTGAGCTAGTTTCAGTAACTGAACCAATGCAATGAGCAGTGCTGTGTTAATTTTTGAGCACATTATAAACCCTACCTTAGACGTAGAGACACGAGTGCTGTGGACACTCAGCCTCTGCACTTGGCAGAAACGATTCTGCCGGGAGATTAACCCCTGCAACATTCTATCCCTGCAACATTCTATCCCTGCAACATTCTACCCCTGCAACATTCTATCCCTGCAACATTCTACCCCTGCAACATTCTATCCCTGCAACATTCTATCCCTGCAACATTCTACCCCTGCAACATTCTACCCCTGCAACATTCTATTTATTTTAAAAATCCTTTCTAATTAACGTCGCTTTTGTTTCTTTGTGGCAATCTCTTTGGAAGGCAAATTGACCCACTTCCCGTCATTCAATCAGGCTGAAACTTGGCAGAGAGACTTGTTGCCGATGACAACACATTTTCATCTCCCACCCCACAACATCAGTTTTTTTTCCTGCTTTTCAAGTGGACGACGAAGGAAACATGGCGCAATGATTTCTTGAGATCTGTAGCCATTGCTAAGTTGCACAATAATGCAGAGGTAAATCCACAAATTTTTTTTGAGGGGGAAAAAATTATAAAATGTGTTTTTCAAGGGAAAAATGAAAGAGATAAGAAAAGTATTTTCAACAGAAGTTCACCATTTGACATGGCTTCTGAATTGAACAGTCTGACCTGCCTGTGATGATACCAAGGGGGTTATATGAAGAACTTGTGTTTTCAACAGCAGTTCACCATTTGACATGGCTTCTGAATGGAAAAGTCTGACCTGCCTGTGATGATACAAAGGGGTTTACATGAAAAACTTGCATTTTCAGGGGTTGATTTTTCAATGGTTTTGGGGGGTTCTACCTGAACAGGGTGAGTCCCTCAAGACCATCCCCGGGGAATTCAGCCATGATCTCCAGGGCCCTGACCGGACCAACACCTTGGATGCCCTCTGTGTAATCACTTCCACACAGGAGAGCCACGTTGATAAGCTGTTCTCTGTTCAGACCTAAAACAGAATTAATGTGGATGCTAGTTAAAAAAAAACAACCAATATTTGAGAGTGTAATTTATGTAACATTTTTTTTTTAAAGGGAAGGAAGTCTGATAAGAAAAGATCATGTGACAATGCTACAAAAGTAATGAGAGAAATTCTCCTAAATATTATTCCCACCCCACTCTCTGTTTAAATTTAAAAAAAAAAAAATGTTTTTTGGTTGAATAAATGAATGTACTTAAGACTGTTCTAAAGTCTTTCATTTTTATGAGATACATTTATGGTAAAAATCCTCAGTTTTCAGTCTTTTTATCATGAGAAACATTTGGTAAAAATTCTTAGTTTTTTATCATGAGAAAAATTTGGTAAAAATTCTGTTTTTTATCATGAGAAAAATTTGGTAAAAATTCTGTTTTTTATCATGAGAAACATTTGGTAAAAATTCTATTTTTTTATCATGAGAAACATTTGGTAAAAATTCTGTTTTTTATCATGAGAAACATTTGGTAAAAATTCTGTTTTTTATCATGAGAAACATTTGGTAAAAATTCTCCATTTTTTATCGTGAGAAACATTTTGTTAAACATCCTTAAACTTGAAATCAAATGCACCACTTCACTGGCAGTTCAAATGTTGCTGAATCTAACACAATTTAAGTCATCAGAATTTATTTTTTCTATCTATGTTTGCTTTAGACGACCAATCCACTTACCAAAGTGATTGTAGATGCTGTCAAAGGTAAACAACTCCACGTGCTTGCTTTGGTTGAAAAAGTTTTTGTACATCCTTCGTCCACCAAACAGCCAGATGTCACTGTCGTCAGTGATGGTGCCCTGTGTCTGGTCGGTGATGTCAAGATACGCACACTGAGCCTCAGCCTCCATCGGGCTCACGATGTATGGAATGCCAAACAGCCTCAAGAGTTCCTGAAGTACACTGATGTACATGAATGCTTCATTGACTATTTAATTTACACTGCCATTTATTTTTTTAAAAACCCACCACCCTGAAGTAATAATATAATACTTTGAAGGTTCAACAATTTTTATGTTTGATTCCTTCTAGGATATAACATACATTATCACATGAGAAAGCCCTGCCTAGATCACAAGACAAAGCCCTGCCTAGATCACAAGACAAAGCCCTGCCTAGATCACATGAGAAAGCCCTGCCTAGATCACATGAGAAATCCCTGCCTAGTTCTGAAAACATGAGCTTCCAAATTGGAATTAAAATTGAACTTAAAATAGTTGGATAGTGCATTCACATGAATAAAACAGTGATCGGCTGTACTTTCGCCATCAACAAGGATGGGCACACAGCATTTTGAGCAGTGAGATTGAAAGAAAATGAGTGAATGGCTTAATATCAGAGATTAAGGTCTAAAGGATGGTAAATGAAGGACCTCATTCAAGCCGTGTGTAGGAAATGATGGAACAAGGTATGTGAAGCTTGAAATATAAAGAGAGAGCAATAAAAGTAGAACGTTTCGGCTAAGAGTCTTCTTCAGCGGACAGGACAAAAGAATAAACAACAAGAAATAGAAAACAGTTCGAAAACTTAAGTGTTGGATGTCTGCCATGTACAATGTACAGTGGCTTAGCTAGGGGGTGCAGGCCACACCGAGTGACACCATCTCAGCGGATGACACCAAATTGAAAAATTGCATACTTACAGAGCACACACTGTTGGGTCTCACCGAATTTCATAAGAGAAAAACTGATCACATGGAATTTTCCACACATATAACCAATCCAAAGGCATGCTTTATTGAAATTTCAAGATTGATGCATCAGAACTGATGTGACTCTATGATTAGGTCAGAAAAACACAATTTCGACCATCATTCAATGCCAATTAAAGTGTTCAGTAACTTTGTGAAGTGACAGGAAGCTATATTTATCTAAAATTCTGAGAACTCAAGCTTTCCATTGATAGACCAAATACAATGTGAGCAGGCGATTTTAAGTACATGTTACGGTTCTAAAATACTTTACCTCCTGACCTTCAATTAATTTGTTTTTGCTCTTGCCCTTGTTACACCAAGGGGAATTCCTCTTGTTTTAACAAGAAGAAATCCACATTGCGGAAGTGTTCAGGACACACGACACATTGAGTTTACCGCACCAGGTGACACCAAACCTAGCTACGCCACTGGCCATTTATGCTTTATTATTGCTGGAAGTAGGGTTTTCACAAAAAAAATATGTTTCCTATCGAAAAGATCACAGGAAGCAAAATATTTTATGCATCATTACTGTGCATAATTAGATTTTGGAGGACAATGAAAAGAGTTTCTCTATAAATTAACCTATTTATCTATCACCTGTCTCTACCTGAGCCTCCATGTTGATCTGTTCAGTTACAGAGGTGGCCAGTCTGTTTTGTTTGCCCTGTTCTGAAAGCAGAGTAGCCCTCTCGGTATCCAAATCTGTGTTTAGGTCCATCAGCATGTCCTGTGGTTAGATAGGTATTGTCATAGTAACTATTCGATAGGTGTTGTCATAATAACTATTAGATCGGTATTGTCAGAAAAACTTTTTGATAGATATTAAAATACAATCTATTTAACTGGTATTTAAGTAATAGGTATTAAATAATTATTATAATATTGCCCAAGTGTTAATACTTACAATGTAATGAGTCATGTGTTAGTCCAAAATCCTAACTTAGCGAATAATCATTAACATAATAAATTTTCTCAGACCATGCACTTTGTTGAATTGAGAAGTGCAACTTGCGAAGAATCCCCTATGGAGGATTTAAATTCCCTTTTCCGGACAAGCTGGTGATTAACATATCATCTATATCAACCAGCTGTTAAACCATTGCCGGTGCCAGAACATTGTATATTTAGTGTCTGAATTATTCATTTAGTTGCGCTCAAAAAAATAATTAAATTTTTTCAAATCTCAGCCTTAAGGGAACTCACCTCATTCAGGTTGTGAAAATACGTGTCCATTTCATTCTCCTCAAAATCTTCAGGCTGGGGTCTACTCCCAAGCTTGCTTGGGGATTCTGTTGACAATGACCCGCTGGTATTAATTCCTGACCGAGGGCTGGGGGCAGCTGATGTTTCATCTTTCCCGTCTTTCATTTCCTCTTCAGCCACCAAATCATTTTCCTCAAGATCTTTCAACTCTTTATCAAGCTCAAATGACAGGGACTCAGTAGACTGCCCGGGACTAGTCACCGCTACCGACTGTTGCACAGCTTCAAAACTGCCGTCACTCTCAGAGTCCGATAGGTCATCTTCGGAAATATTAGAGAATTGTTTTCCAGATTTTGTCACAACTGGCAGCTGAGGTGACGTCACAAAGTCATCGTTAGCACCTGCCACCACTTCACTATTTTTGCCTCCAGCGGCGCATTCAGTTTTGGAACTCTGCAGCGACAGCTCGATTGCGAGCTTCAAGTCATCGTCTTCGTCTGATGACTCATGTGAAACAATTTGATTGATTTCCGGGTTCCCAGATTTCTGTTTGGTAGAGGGCACCTCAGGGCCCTGGGAGGCAGGTCTCAGCGATGCGTCGACCTTATTACTGCAAACCACTCCCTCGCCATCTTCATCTGTGGATGATTCCTCCTTGATAAAACCACCACTTGCACTGAAATCAAACTCCGGGGCTGACGTCTTGGAACCAAGCACCGCACCCACGTGGCCACCAGGCGCCGATACAGCACCGCTACTATCGTCTTCGTGTAACCATTTGCCAGAGTCGCTGCCACCGTCGTTAACATTTGCCTCTAGTTTAACATCATCATCATCTGCAATGCTGTCGGACAAGAGGACAGTTAAACTTTTCTTCTTCTCCGCCAGTTGACTTAAAATATCGCTCAAGACACTTTTTCTTTTGGCCACGACTTCATCGTCCATAGAAGCAGCAGCGGTGACGGCACTTGTTACGTGGCCAGACTTTTCCTGCAGCGCTGGCTCCGTCTCACTTGCATGACTGAGCATGTCCGACAGCACATCTTTGCATGGGTCTTCACTTCTTTCAAAGATGCTTGATGGGAAAAGGTCATCATCTTCCGCTGCAGCATTGGGGTCAATGGTCACCTCAATGAAACCTTCATCTGGTGAAGCAAAAACGAAATAAAATATTTGATTCTGAAAGCTACATGGAAATTTAGTCAAATTTGTTGGTGATTTTTTTTTTTTTTTTTTTTTTTTTTAGTTGAAAAGCCATATGAAAGTTTTTGTGAATATATTTTCACAGAATTTTAAATTTTTTTTTTTTTGTTAGTTGAAAAGCCATATGAAAGTTATTGTGAATATCATTGCACAGAATTTTAAACAATTAATGCTCCCAATCTGTAACTAAACATTTGTCCAGCTTGGAATAAAAGGAAATGGACCATGATGAGTAAAGGCATAAAAAATTTTTTTCAATATTAATTGTTTTGCTTTTTAAGCCTTGAGTCCCCATTGCCAGTGAAAATAGTAGTCTATAATAGTGTTTGATTACATTTTTTTTAAAAATCCTATCCTTTGTCTAGCTAGCCCAGACTTGTGTCTGATATGTGAAGTTTATTGACACTATAACTTAGCAAACGTCTCACCTTCAGAGCTGGAATCCCTTTCGTTAATCTCATCATTTCCACCAACACTGGCCGAGGCTGGTACTTGCAAACAATCACCTTTGTCTGTGCTGGCCCTTTTATGGGATGATTGTATGTTGCTATATTTAGATACACCTCTAATTGGGCCAGGTTTTTTCTCTGCTGCTGTTTTCTTCTTCTTCTTCGCTCTCTTTAGCTGCCCCCTCCTTGCCATCAGTGTTTCTAGGTCGCTGTCGGAACCAGAGAAGCACTTCTTGCTTGCTGCCTGTGAAGACTTCTGATCCTTGGTCGGGAATCCACCGCTGCCGCCCTCCTCGACCTCATCATCATCCTCTTCTTTCTCCACCTTCACCTTGTTCTCAAGTTCGTACTTTTCCGCTTCTTCCTCTTGTTTCCTCTTGGTCAGGCCTTTGATGAGTACATAATGCGCGGCGTCTTCCGAGACGATTCTTCTTGCCTCCACCTCATCCCCGTAGTAGTCATCCCCCAGGGAATAGGTTATGTCCCCCGCCGTCTTGGATGACATTTCCTTGCGTACCTCTTCGATGCGGTTGGTCAGTTTGCTTTGTTTCATCAGCTTCTTCAGTTGGTAAGATGAAAAACTGTCAGAGTCCTGGGATAATAAAATGGTAGTTTTCAATAAAGAGCAAGATTTTATATTTGAAATTTCTGATCAACTTCTTGTTACATATATAGGTTTTAATGGATTGAAAACAAAATACAAAGGTCACTTTGACATTTTCCCCTTAGAATTATATAATTTTAGGAGTTGCATTATAGCATCACTTGATTGACCCTACTTGAAAAATGTTTGTTCTACCACCAGATGAATAAGTGTATCAGTTTGTTTCCAAACAATATGTTATTCACATCTTTTACATTAGCTATTTCCCTTTAAGTGTTTTCCTTTAACAAACCCTCTTCTCCTCCGCAAACATCGCTACAAGGCACAGCCCATCCATTACAACCATCAAACGCTCTTCTCCTCCGCAAACATCGCTACAAGGCACAGCCCATCCATTACAACCATCAAACGCTCTTCTCCTCCACAAACATCGCTACAAGGCACAGCCCATCCATTACAACCATCAAACGCTCTTCCCAATTGTTAATCACATTAACCCAAGAACTGTCATGGCGGCCATTCATCGCCCATTATGGCAGCTTCTGTGTATAATCGACCTATCCAATACTAAAATTAATATTATAAAAGAAATTCATAAGTTTTAAAATGTTTTAAGGGGGATAACGGATAAAAAAATTAGATTTTCTTCCTATTTATAGAAATCTAAGCCCAATATTTCACTTGTTCACTTTTTTAAAAATTTAAATTATGAACCGAGCTGAAATTTTCAGAGTTTATTTTTTTTTTAAACTAATTTGTAGGACTGAGATTTTAGCCTTGCAATTCAAAAGCCTAATTTACTTGAATTAATTTTTGAAGAAAGTTTTTTTGAAGATAGTTTTGTCAATATTACTGATTGGAGTGGTAATTACAATAGTGGAGCTAGAATAAGTAGTTCAAGTTCTAACAGTGGAAGTAGTGGAAAATAAGGTACTAATGAATTTAACAGGCATTATATAATTAAATTTGTAGGACATCAATGAATCTTTTTTAAATTTCTATAAACCCAAATAACTTAAGATTTTCTAAACTGAAAGAATAATGTTTTATGAGTCTGGAAAACGTGGTTAGATGATAAAAATGACCTAACAGTCAGTATGGGTTTGAAGCTGAGGACACAATTGTAATAGCTATAGAATGGCCAAGGTCACCTTCATTTAACATAGATCACAGAATTCCAAAATTCATACCACATGATTTCTTGACCAATCATAATATCTATAGTTAGACGGGTCTCTGGATTCATTTTCTATAAGTTTTGGGTATTTTAGTATTTTTAGGTGACGCATATCACAGTTACTAAAAAAGGTATTGACACCACAGCACATTTGCATTGGACAGTTTGTGGGTTAATAATTTTCCCTTCTTTACATTGATCTCTACTCAAATCAACTCAAATAAACACACGTTTCTTACCTCTGGCATTTTAGTCAACGTCCTGAGATTATGGTATTTCTTTTGTTCTTTTATTTCATGTAAAATCTCATGCTGAATCTCCATAGGCAAGGACCGGAACTCTTCAGAGTCTGGATTAGCGTCTGACAAAACGGCCAGACCCTCCTGTTGACACAAATGAAAATGCATAATACACATTATAAAAATGTATGCATATGATTACTTTTTTGTGCTAAATTATAACCTTTCTATTTCACTTTGTTGTTTGTGGTACCATTCACCAAGCAATAATTTTTTTCTAAGTCCAACACTGTTACTATGACAACAAAATAATACAGGGCAGAGATTAATTATATTTAAAAAAATATAATTTACTCTGATCCAGTTCTCCTGCTGTTCAAAGTCCTTTTCCCACTGTTCAGCATTCATTGTGAGGCTGGAAAGAATACATGAACCTGGTCACTCAAAGTAAAATCTACCTGTTTGATTTAAATTTACTTAAAGTGAAAATGGTAAGCAATTTCTTAAAAATGAATTCGAATTAATTAAAATTTAATTTAAGAGCAGTATCAGAATTAAGAGTACAACACTCAGATATATACCCAATCTCTTCTGACTCTGGTAAAGGAGCTAGTTCAAATATGTCTCTGTCTTGGTTGCGTCCCTTTTGAACACCAGGAACACGTTTCGGTTTACCGGTGTCCCCAAGAGCTTGTTTGACCGCACTGCTCTGAACTAGATTACGCAGCAACTTCTGGGCTATGTCACTGCTCTCTCTCTCTGCTTCCGCCTTTCTCTCCCTTCTCGCAGCCTGGATAGTTTGGATAAAGTGAAAAACAAAATTTTTATTCTGTTGAGGCTCCTTTAAACCATAATTCCCCTCCAGAGAAACTATCAATTTAGGTCAATACATTTAATACTACATGTTTTTCAATATTATTTAATATCAATGACTAGTTCCATTCATTATACCACATATGATAATACGGTAATGATTTATTCAAGATGTCAAGCCTGCAGAGCTTTTAACATTAAAATTTATTTCTAGTAGACCAAATTTCCTTTAAAAAAATGAACACACAAAAATTGTAATATAATCATTTATGTTTCAAAATATAATGTAAAATTGTGCTACTTCATGCAAGAAAGGACTACAATTTTCATACTAGATTACTGGTTGATTTTTTTAAATTTGGAGATTAAAATTATAAAGCTGAGGATAAGTCTAAACTTAAAAAAACTTCCACTGACAAAATTACAACGTATTAAAGTTTTTGATGAATACAATTACAACTAGTTTGAGACACTAGCTGACATTTTCTTTTTACTTCATAAACAGACTTTTTATGTTGAGATGTGTTTTCTGAATGATGTCAAAATCAGCATTAGTGCGACAACTGCTTCAGCCTTGGGACACTTTTCTTGATGTATGTAGGGCACCTACATAAGCCTTGGGACTCTCTTCCTGATTTAGGTATCTCAAATGACCAGATCCACAGTGTATTGGACAATTACTAACCATCGTTTGCCTTTTTAGAACTGGAACACCCCCATCAAACACAAACACTGGCTTGATCCGATAATACAACAGTTTGCACACTCTTGAGAAAAGTCCCTTGAATAAAAGAAATGGTGTATTTAGCCATAGAAGATATTATTTAAACAACATACCACAACCTAGACAGGTTTAAAAAAAAAAAAAAATGCAATGTAAAGCCAGAGCCTTTTTTCTTTTACTGTTTTTCAATAATCAACAATAAACAATCAGTAAACAAAAAATTAAATTACTTACAAAGTTTTATTTGATGACAAATATTAGGGTTATAATACTGAATACCTGCAAATGTGCATTGGGAAGAGGGTTTCCATCCTTGTCTCTCATTCCTTTCATTGTCTGGTGCAACCAAATACTCACGTCTTTCCAAAGTTAAGGTGGATAGACAGAATTTATTATAAGTGTTTCATATAACCAGGGAATTATAACGGTGATATTTTAAGAATTTAAAGAAAGAATTAGAACGTTATCCTTGGCCTTCATGTATCATGTAACCAGCCCATTATAACTGTGACGCATTAAAATAAGATAAAGATAAGATATTTTTATTGATCCGAATAAATTGAAATTTGTTTTTTTAATTCATCATACTCGCTCATATATTTTCAGTCTTGAAAATACTTGTTTTCGTTTTCCTTAAAATTAGTCTGCAGCAAGACTTCCATGTAATAAGTGTGCCTTAAGAATAACTGAGTTTTTCAGTGTGGGTTGTAATTATGAACAGATTATTGGCTTTTTTATTTATTGTAAACTTAAGCCTTCTTGTCATTAAGTTGGGTGCCAGAGAGACTAATTAATTAAAATCACATATAGACTAATAATTTGAGTTAAGTTTGAACAAACAATTACAATTAACACATAAGTAATTATTGAAGATATCTTTGGGACCATTTCAAGTTCAAACATTCTTAGAATGGAGTTTTTTTTCCCAGCTTCTTTAAAATGAATGTATTCTTCAAAAGGATACCAACAGCAAGAATTTTCCCCTCTAAAGATTCAAGAGAGACAGGGCGACCAGCCGACTGGAGTAACTGCCACAAGCCATGCACACCCATAATGATAGTCTCTGTAAAACAAAATCATGAATGAGTAAATATTCTATTGTTAAGTTGATATATTACTTTATTAAACCATGAGACACATGAATTAATATTATTCTTTATTCTAACTTCATGTTGTTTTATTTAATTTTTAAATTCAAACTTCAAAAATCTGCCTCACTCAGAGGAGTACAGTTTAATACATACCAGCTGTAGGTTTACTAACTGTTGAGACCAGAATTAAACAGTAGTAGGGGGAAATAAGATTCATTAATATTTGTAGAACCAATATAGTTGATAGTGAACAATATGATGACTATGATGAGGATACTGAACTATTGTCCAGTATAATTAAATTTTGTGAAATTATATTAATTATTTATAGTCAATAAGACAATCAAAATTAATATATGACCTACTTTTCCTAAATATGAAAAAAAATTAAATTGATAATCATGGGGGTGATAAGATTAGGCTAATACCAACACTTTTCAAAATTATCTATGACCATGTCCAAGGCATGGTGAGTGGCAAGTACAAGCATTTTTCCTTAATTTAATTAAATTTAATATAGGCTATAGTTATAGGACCTTGCTAGGTACGGCTGGGCAAGGGTGGGGTGTCATCTTAGTCTTAGGGAATCATAATATTAATATATGTTGTCACAAACTTTATAGTAGTACACATATAAATATAATAATACTTATAATAATATATTAAATATACGGTATATGGTATTTATGCCTAAAAATTAAAATAATAAAATGAATGGTGAAAAAATGAACTCAATATATTGAATAGAACTAATCAAACTGGTGTAAATAATAAGATTACGAATCAGTAAAGTATAAAAAAAAGTTAAATTTGGAGAGATAGCACCGCGGATGCAATCTTGGTTGCCACAACCCGCAAACTTATGTCCTAAATGTATCCCTAAACCTAACCTGAACCCTAAACTTATTCAAACCTGGGTTTTGATCCTATCGGAACCAGGATTTTGACCCTATCGGAACCGGGAACAAACCTGCAAATGATGTCAGGGCGCTATCTCTCCAAATTAGCACAAAAAACCCTTAAAATTAATGGCCCTTCTTGCCTTACTTAACTTAGGCCTAGGGTAGGGTGACCAAATCATGATTTTGAAAAAACAGGACGCTTTCAAGGGCGGTTGTTTTGTTGTTGTTGTTGGGGGGGGGGGGGATACCCTCCAGTTAAAGAAGGGTCCGGGGGGCCTGGGCCGGGAACTGTTTATTGAAATATGCTCATTTTAACTATGAAATCTAACCTAGAAATCTAATTGGGGCGCTCAGTCTTTTCCTATGTTTCACTGATGTGATGTGTTGTTTTATGTCTGAACGTCCATCATGACCAATACTAAAAACATTATTGCAAACTGTGCACTCGGCTTCAATTTCATAGCGTCCCTTTTTAATATAGTTTCACTCTTTGGAATAATCATCCAAAAAACGTACATTGACGCTTGGGCATAATTATTGTTTGCATGAGGCATGAGAAGATAATATAAAATTAAAGAATAAAGTTCAACACCCAAAAACAAACACCTCTCACTCTGACACAAACAGGCCGGTAGGGATCACATATATGACTAAAACATTACACATAGCCGTAGCGGTCGTGGAATCATAATTGTTTTCTGCACAGTTACATCCTCTCCCTACGGCTTTAAGTCTCGTGTCTTTCACTATACTATATATTATCATATGGGAAGCGTTATTCACACAGCTCTGTGAATAACGTTTAGCGTTATCGGCAGACCGAAATCTGTGAATAATGTCGAGCGTTATCCACACAGCTCTGTGAATAATGTTTAGCGTTATCGGCAGACCGAAATCTGCGAATAATATCTGTATACCGGTAGTATAATAGTAATAGCCTATTACTATACTAAATATTATGCAGTATAAAGTATATACACAATTGTAGTATAAGTAATATACTTAGTTACTTAGCTTAATCAGTATACGCATACATGGGCGCCCGCAGAAAACTTTCTGGGGTGGGGG